ACCAGGAGCGCACGTGAACATATGTGGAAGCTTTAGAGGGCTTCGGGATTATTCCTAGAGGTTACAGCAGGCTTCTGGAGTACAGTACGTAAGATGTGTGGACAGTAGGCCAGACAAGCACGCTTTTTCCGCCAGAGCCACGCCTCCTCCCAGCACTTCTTGGCGGCGCCTTCGGCGCCGCCTCGGGCGCCCCCCCAGACGTGTGAGGAGGGGTCGGCTACGCATAAGAGTGACCCTTCGCTGCTGGAGTGACCCTCTGGTGCTGGCCCAAAGGGGGTTGGGTCATTTTCTTAGGAGTTTAGCTCGACCTCACGTCGTGGGCACCCGCAGCGTGGGGTTGCCGCTCGCAACTGCGCGCGCCAAGGCTGGCCCCCCCCCCCCTCGCAAGCGACCGCAGCGCACGCGCGGCGCATCCTGCAGCGCGCGTTGAAGTCTCCCGAGGTGGGGGGCGGTCGACCGGGCGGCGCGTATGCCGCCCCAGGACGGGTCCCGAATCCCAGCCCAAAGCCCAAGTCGTCCAGCCTGGGAATATTTGGGTTCAGTTGGGCATATCGACGCCGGACTTGGTCAGACGTCATCGCGACGCAGCCGGGCAGTGCCAGACCTCGTCGTGGTGGTCCCCGGCAGCGTCTGCTTTCGCAGCGCCTTCGAGGTGCCATTCGGGGCGTTCGCATCGAATTGGTGTAATGCCGCAGTGGCCCGCTGGCGCTAATGATCTTTCGAGGCGCGTCGCTGGCCGAAGCCAGACCCCCCCTCCACACCCTGGCGCGACCGTGGAGTAGCCGGGCCAAGACAGTGGAGGGGACCCGAACCGGCCGTAGCCGGAACGGGTTTACCGTTTAGGCTCCAAGACCGGGGTCGGTGCCCCCACTGCCGAAACCACCCACCCACCCACGGCAGTGGCGCAGCCCCCATGCAGGCCACGACTAAGCGGGTTTCAGTTCCCCCGGACGCCGGGAGGTGCCGCCCACACCAACCGGCTGCCCGCCCAGGGGCAGGAGGAGGAGGAGGAGGAGGAGCGAGGAGCGAGGAGCGAGGAGCGAGGAGCGAGGAGGACGAAGAAGAGGAGGAAGAAGAGGAGGAGGGAGAAGAAGAAGGGAGGAGGAGGAGGGAGGAGGAGGAGGGAGGGAGGAGGATGGAGAAGGGAGGAGGGAGAAGCGGAGGAGGGAGGAGGGAGGAGGCGAGGAGCGAGAAGGAGGAGGAGGAGGCGGAGGAGGAGGAGGAGGAGGAGGAGGAGGGGAGGAGGAAAGGTTGATGAAGAAGAGGAGGAGGAGGAGGAGGAGGAAGAGGAGGAGGAGGAGGAGGAGGAGGCAAGGAGGAAGGAGGAGGTAGGAGGGAGGAGGGAGGAGGGAGAGGGAGGAGGGAGAGGAGGGAGAGGAGGGAGGGGGGGAGGGGGGAGGGGGGAGGGGGGGAGGGGGGAGGGGGAGGAGGGAGGAGGGAGGAGGGAGGAGGGAGGAGAAGTGAGGGAGGAGGGAGGAGGGAGGCGGAGGAGGGAGGAGGAGGAGGAGGAGGAGGAGGAGGAGGGGAGGAGAGGAGGAGGAGGCGGAAGGAGGAGGAGGAGGAGGAGGAGGGGGAGGAGCGGGGGGGGAGGGGGAGGAGGAGGAGGAGGAGAGGAGGAGGAGGAGGAGGAAGGAGGAGGAGGAGGAGGAGGAGGAGGAGGAGGAGGAGGAAGAAGAAAGAGAGAGAAGAGGAGCGAAGGAGGAGGAGGAGGGAGAGGAGGAGGAGGAAGAGGAGGAAGAGGAGGAGGAGGGAGGAGGAGGAGGAGGAGGAGGAGGAGGAGGAGGAGGAGGAGGACGACGACGATGAAGAGGAGGACAGAATGCAACCCGCACGTGCGCACGCGCGCGCTGCCGCCCTGCGGCCGTGCAGGCGACGAGCAGCTGCTGGCCGTGTCGGCCGGCGAGGCGCACTGCGGCGCGCTCTGCCGTTCGGGCCGCGTGCTCGCCTTCGGGGAGAACCGCCACGGGCAGCTGGGCCTCGGGGACCGTGCGGGCCGCCAGCATGCACGCCACCACCCTCTCCAGACCCCCTTTCCGGCCACCCTTTCCAGACCCTTGGCATCGCTCGGACGTGTGCATTTTTTCCTCGGTGGGGACCATCGAGGAGCATCCTTGATCATTTGGCGAAAAAGCCACGCACGAAACCGAAAAAAACACAGGGAATGGACGTCCGAGCGATGGCGAGGACCCCCCCATCGGCTCACGAGCAGATCTGTGCCGACGGCGTTTCGCTATTCTCTGCCTCCGGGGGCCCTCACCAGGCCCCCCAGGACCGTCGTATAACGACTCAAGATGCAAAGCCGGCCCCGGGGATGGGGTCCAGACCTCTGGGGGTCGATGTCATGATCAAATCATGACGTCAGGGGTCTCGGCCCCTCCTCCACCCTCGTATTCACCTCCTCCTTCCTGGGAGAGGTCGGGGGGTGATGGAGGTGGTGGTGGTGGTGGTGGTGGTTGTCTAGACGTGGGCGCGTCGTAAGAATAAATCAGGACGGGAAGTG